GTTAATCATTTACCATCATTTTGAATATATATATACATAACAAACAGTTCCATAAAATACCAGACATTTTATATAGGTGATTACAAATAAAACCCCACTTTTAAAATGCTTTATGTTAAAAATTACTTGTCCTAAAGAACAATCTTTCAAAGACATAATAAGAATCATAAATTTTATTCCTGAAAGTTTTGGCACAATACGGGGTGTTTTAAAAACTGTTTACGTTTGCAACAAGCCCTGCATGGAATACATCTAATGCTTTACTGTAGTCTCCATTTCACATTCAGCTTTTATTCAAACAAACAAACAAAAGAAAGACAACAACAACAATGACATCAAAATTAATACTTTAACATCAGTAAAGATTGCACAAACTAATATCTATATCTTGCTTCTGACTTAGTATGACTTTATAATTTCTAATTTGGTATTTGTTTCATTTTGATAGTAGTGGCCATCAGCCAAATAAAATTTTTATTGTGCATTATAAACATTGATCCTATTTCTCTGATTTTAAAATTTATTGCACAAGTTGCCTTAATTGAATCTTGCTAACAAACATATTTCTTTTTTTTTAATCTACTCTGATGAGTATACATACATCTTTCTTCTAGGTAGCCTGAATAACATCCAAATCATTTTTTACTATAAATATATTCTGCCAATTGCTGTGCACCTGTGAGTCTATCAACACTTACGGGTATCATGGAAAACTGATCTCTACCTAATAAAATCCTGTCACTCAGTAATTCAATCACATGAAGAAGCCACAAGCTGTAAGGCATCAGTTAACAACTTTATCCTACCTTGAAATTAGCTTTAAAGAAAGCCTTCTAATGGCAAAAAAACCACCTTGATTTGAATAATCAATGACACGTCCTTTCAACTAAAACTGGTTAAATCAGTATAATGACAATAACTATCAATCTTTAATCAATTTGTCCTAAACTATGGTTAATGTACCAATATTTTATTTTTCGGTTTGTACTTTTTTTGTTTATAAACATGTTTGTCTATTGTTTAATAAGTTAATAATATGTATAACTGAACCTCTTGATAAAAATTGTTTTCTTAGACCATCACACAGATCCAACTAGTAATAAAAAGTTTAATAAATAAATATTATCTCACAAATACCTACATCCAAGAAGTTAAGAAATTTGATAATGACAAGTTGTTAGTAATAAGTTTTGCCTTAAGTTTGATAATGACAAAGTTTTAGTAATGGTTTTTCCTTTTACAAGGGATATTAAGTCCAATGTTTACAGAAAGACCTAAATACATTCTTAAGCCCATTTATTCTTATGTTATTAGGTGGGTATTGGGCTTAAACCTCATAACTGGAGACAGTGTTTTCTGCATATAAAACAAAATTATTTCAGATTTCCAAGACTTACAATTTCAGAAATTCCAGATTTTAGCCCAAATTGTATTACAAACATTAAACATTTTAACAAAAATACTAATATGTAAAAAATTTACCATTAAATGTATTTTCTCTTTTCTCTCTATTTTTCAATTTTAATTTGTCATGCTCACACACCAGTCACTGTTAACTATCACTTTGTTGCCCTCTTTCTACCCTATATTTCTGGCCTTCCAGAGGTTTTAAATGACACAGTCCATAAATGTTGTCAACTACAAGATATTTTGAACATGTCCTAAAACCTTGATGCCGATCCGCAAAACAGAAGAAATTCCCTTTATCTCCAAGGAAAACATCTTTCCTAAATTCTATGTGATCTTCAGTTTGTTTCTTTGAATAATAGTGGAATTGAATAAATTTCAATGGATGCACTGCCATATTCTCACAATTATACAGGTGGGGATAGAAAAGTTTTGCTATAGTCAAAAACACATCTGATACCTATAGTCTTAGCTTCGTATTGATGTATGCCTTTTCTGTTGTTGTGCTTTATTTTTTAAAATTGAAGTAAAAAAATGTATACCTAATTTAATAAAGTCAGATTTAAATCACACTGGACAAAGATAAGTCAATTTCAGAACGTTCAAGTAAACACTGGTCTTACTCATCCTTGTACAAGTCAGTATTTCAGTCTTGAGAAGATTCTTACAGTGAAACAGTACATACAAGTTTACCAGTGTTGTTAGATATACCAAAATGTGTCAAAACCTCAAAGTGTGATGTCAGTGTATGTGTATTTTAGTAGTCAGGGAAGTACAGAATCAATGATGTTTAAAATATAAGTTACATATAGGCTTCCTGTTAACTATATGGAAGGTAATTTCTAAAATTTATTTGTATACAGAAATTAAATGAAAAGTGTTTTGTTTTTGCCTTTGAACCTTGAATACGTTTTGTTGTTAGCACGTGGAAAAAAACACCACAACCTTATACATTTTGCATTGTCCTATATTACTGAAGTTTTCTTCAGTGATTAACAGTTTCTGACATCATCAGGGCATTAACAAACATTATTAACCCAGTCATTAAGGGGTTAGTGAAAGTGGTTTGATATGTACATGTATAGATTTTTGTTTAATTGTTAGTGCAAAAAGGAGAACATTTCCATTTGAGTTATGATGAAATTAAAGGTAATTGTTTTTTTGACAGGAAAATCTTTATAACTTATATTTTTCACAACCCATCTTACTGTTGTTTTCACTTAATTATTTTCATTTTATGTTTTAGTACAATGACATTTAAAGTGTAAAAAATAAAATACTATTGGCTAGAATCCCTTATCTTTGCTGGGTTCTAAAAATAAAGCTCTAACTACCATTAGAAAAATCAAAACTCTACATTTTGACAATCTTCACCTTTTGATTTTAATGCATAATCTATATTTTCAACACCTTTCTGAAGAGGTTAAAGCACAAGAACCATGCTACAGCTCAAGCCCATGTACAGGAGTATAAGTATTTCATAATTGTATATTGCATTATTTATAGCTTAAATTTCTATTGTAAGTTGGTTTAAGTAAAGTATTTTTATTTACTATTGTCATTTATTTGTGTTAGTCAGTACTTAATAATGATTTCTCAGTGTGAAAAGGTTGCTCATCACATATACTAGGTGTATAATAAAAAGTTATTATAAGCTTCAAATGATGAGATTCTAACAGAAACAGCCATAATAAAGCAAACAATTCATGACCAATCCTACAACCAGCAATGAACAAATTAGTATGCTCCAAGTTGTTTTTTCATCTTGTAACAACGTTTATAAATCTATGCTCAAACTGTGGGCAATAGAAGGGAATGTAATTCCCATTCTTAAAATCAACATCAACTGCATCCGCTTGTTAGAAAAATCGTGCACATTATCTCCATCAACCATCAGTAAAGTATGGTTTTTAGTTAACTCTTAATATCTAATCAAATTTATTGTTAAATCTTAAATTTTTGTAATTAAATTCTAAGTATATTTATACGTATAAGAGTGCTATCCTATTTATGGAGTTCCTCTTGTTAACTAGATATAATTCCAGCACTGTTTATAAATCAATATTAAATCTTATAACCAATGAACACTACTGATTTAAAACCTGATATGTCAATAACATTCTTTTATGAAAAAAAATATTCATCTAGGCGACATAAAAAATACTCACCTTATCTTCTGCTATGGAAGTATCTTCACTTTCAAACAACTCGTCTCTAGTGAGTACTTCGTCACAGAATGCTATTTTTGCTCTTTGCTACACATACAATAAATATGCAATGAAACAAAAATAACATTAAATTTTATGAAAACAGTTTCAGGTAATACAACTTCTTATTAATTTAGCAAAATTTGTGACACAGCGTGTGTGGGAATACTGGTTCTTAAGATGTTTTCTTACCTTTTTGGCCAAGATAGTTTCAAATCATTCATTAAGCCTACCACAATTATTTTTGTTACCTATTATTTTGATACAAAGTATGATGATACCTTGAATATTAGGTGGTGAAAATAAAGTTGACATTACATGTAACATTTTGCCAGTGTTTACTGGTGAAATCTTGTATGAAGAGAGTATTTCATTACTTTCTGGTACAAATACTGATTGGATAACCTTTGCAATTATGTGTTACAATAGTTGTCATCCTAATGAAGTTCAAACAGTACTAGTTTTGTTAAACAATAATGAACTTTCTCAAACAGAAATCCATTAAAAATTTGGAAGCTATAAACAGAGCCTTCTAAAATTTTTGATAAAAAATTCTAAGCTATGTAGCTAGTATGCGAATATTCAATCAGCCAATTAGCCAGAATTGTTTTGGTTACTGTTGGAAAGTTGTAATACAGGAGAGACCTTAACTCTGTGTGCACATTTCCATAACTATATTAGGCCAGTTCAAACTTTGACTGTTTTGAAAATGACATATGTTTAAACAACATGGAACAAAGGTAAAGTTCAGTTCATAACAGTAATGTATCCACAAAATCTTGCATGACTAAGTGGACATTATTAGAAATCTTATAATTTTTGTAATAAACCACTCATTAAAGAGCTTTTCAGCCATATTTCACACTTAAAATAATTAAGTAAACACCTGCTATGTAACAACAGCAATATTCTGTAACTACAAGTCAACAATTTCATAATGCAAGTGTACTATATATTCACCAGCACCAGACCATAATAAGCAAGTTTTTATACACAAAACTTCTCACTTTGTGAAGTATTTAATTTCAAATATACTTTGTGGTTCAACAGTATGAGTAAATTTCAAAGGTATTGTTGTAGGCTATATTTTTTTAACTTAGACATTTCATTGTTGTTTGACATGGTGTGATTGGCATGGTTTAATGACTAGAACTTTCTGAAAAGTTTAAGAAACAATTTGAGCCATACAGAAAACATATTATTCTATAGTAGATGGATTATTGAGTCTGTTTGTAAGTTACCTTGGTCCTGAAGTAGGGAGATATTATTTGATTGAATTTTTAAATCACTTATTTAGTTCAGTGTTGTGCTTCAACATATAAATAAGAGATCTGAGAAATATAAAAAGTAATTGAAATTGTTATATTAGCATCTGATGTGAACTTACACCTATCAGGGAACATTACTTAAGAAATCTTGTAGAACTAGTTATAAAAAATTAAAAAGTTTTCATTATCATTATGTGGATTGGACTTTGCATTCTTCTTTTTACTGAATGATCCAAAAGAACTCACCCAACAATAGAAACCATTACAACACTGGTGTCAAAAGTGGGAATATTTTGGTAAAAATAAATTACATTTCAGACTGAACTTTAAGATTACTATAAGTGCTCAAAGCAAAATTGAAAATTTAATGGAAATGATGAAACAGTGGAATGAAAATCAAGAAGAGAGAAACAAAACCCACTAGCTTCATTCCTTAAAGAAAAGCATTTATGGAATTACATGGATCACTATAAAACACACACACACAAATCAATAGCTATTTTGGTCACATAATAATAAAATTAATCTTTTTTTTTTAATCAGATGGATAAATCTTGCCTTCATAGAATGTTATTTATTTTACCCCAACAAATACTTCTACAGGAATGTAATATCACTCTTGTAAGTAATCCTAGAATTAAGTTTACTAAGCAAGCAACAAATGATATATGTTTATAAAAATGTCACATTTGTGATGTAAGTAATTTTTGCTAGATTCTAATGATGGCTTCCACTGACTTTCCATTCAAATGTTCATCTCATTTTCCCATTATCTCATTCATTTTGCCCTTTGTTTCACTAAACTGTAAAATCACAATCACCATTAGATTTTTTCTGTTATAAATTATTATTTTTGAATTACAATTATTTCAAACTTTCCATTGTGCCCTACAAGATATATATGCCATGAAAGGATGCGACACACATCTGAGAGAATAGTCTATAAAAGTTTCACTGGGAATAATTAATGCAAGAGGCACTTAAATAGTAAAAAGAAAACAAAACCTGTAGACCTAACTGACAGACTACTCCATGTCATCACAACAAATTTTAGTATAACATTTCGTGGTAACCAGATAATGCTCTACTTTACAACAGGTTTGCTATCTATTAACCCTATTGCCCCAGATATCCTTTACTGTGCATGACATAAAGGTTTTAGTGCCTTACATTCAAAATTTTCTTATACTACTTTTTGTTTATGTTATACCAATTATAATAGCATAATATCTTAGCTAATAATCCATATCTTAATAGTATACAAGTTTTAAGTTCTTAATTCTACAAGGCAATATTTAAAAAAAAATCCTGAATTTCCACTAGTGTGATGCACGTGACACATTTTTTCTTAACATGTCATCATTCCTATTTTATCTACCACCCCTTAAAAATGTACGAAATTAAACATAAATTACATTCGTGCCATAAAAACTTGTAAATCACTCGAAGAATGTGCAGGTCATATTAAGCTATCAGATTACATTACCCACAAGCTAGTACGAGCTGTTCTCGTGCGTGCCTCATGAACCATTTTCATTATATTATTATCGTTTCTTATTTTACCTAATCTAGTCTTAAATAACTCAAAAAGATCTGTATTTTTAGATTTTAGAGAAGTAGTTAGACACGGTTCAAAGGGCAATAAAATTTAATTATAAATAGATGTATAATGTTACGAACTTAGAAATACTTAGGATAAACGAATGTAGTTTCATGTTATAATGTGAAGTCATTCCAGAAAGAAAAAAAGGGTGATTTAGGTTTGTTATGATTTCTTTTTGATGATTACGAGGTTGGTCGAGTTGACCAATCCTGTTTTGAGATAGGGAAGAGAAAATAACAGATAAACTACAAAGTTTTACTGAAAAAAAAAGGATTTGAAATGCATTTAAGAGGTTTTTAGGGATTACACAAAGGAAATTTGAGATTTTTGAGACGAGGAAAAGTATTTTTAATTTTAATATGAAAATTACTTTGCACATGGACTATTCCAAACAAATACTCAATATATTCATAGATAAATCTTTATTTTATTTTATTAAAAACACTTCGCTAAAAAATATGATTTTTTGTATGTAAAAGACATGTAATGTTAACTGAAAGACTGCCAAATTTCGTGAAGATATACCCACTATATTGAGAGTTATAAGTATTAAATCTAAAAAGACTTTAAACGAGTACATAAAGGTCATGTGATTGCTCAAATTGACTGAGCCCATATTGGGATAGTTAATGATAAAACTGTATTATTACTATGTTACACATTTCATCAAATTTGTTCTCACCTTGAGACGAGGAGTTTAAATAGAAATTTTTCACCAAATTCATAGAACATTTATGCATCTCCTTTGTAATAAGCAGTATTAAGAATAACATTTTATATTATTTTCTATCATAAAGTCTAGTATTACAACAATTATGATTAAAATATTTTCTTTCGTAATATAAAAATGTCCTTACTAGTTCTTTATGCATCTGTTTCAATTCTGTTAGGTAATTTTTGACATGATTTCGGTACTTTGACTGTTCTGCTGCAGTTAAGGTTCTAATTTCCAGTTCCATTTGTTCAACCTGAAATAATAAGCAAAATAAATTTGAATAAAAAGTGACATTTACGCATATATATATATATATATATGTATATAAAAACATATTCCATATAAATAAATACACATTTATTTCAATAACATCTGAGCATAACGAGAATCATTAAGACAAAAGACATAAGGTTATCCAAATTAAAGCAAAAAAGAGCTTATGTTGTATATAGAATTTCACTACCGGGAAATGCTGCTGAATATTATAGGGGTTGCCAAATATTCTTGAAATACAGAAGTCAGTGACAAATCCTAGGAGCCAGTGATGGGAGTTCATCCCTACTTTGCTCCAAGAAAATTTGTGGCCATTTTGCAATTTTGTACAAGTTAAGCATCTTAGACAGAACACAAAAAAAACACACATATACACTGCCTTTTTTTTGTACAATTTAATATTTGCATTGTTCAATCACACAATCTTCTTTGTTCTCTGTACAATTATGAAGTTCTCATAAAAACTTTCAGTGCCAACCATCTCATTCATGTCTCGTCAAACAAGAGCCTACTTGCTAATATACATGGTTATTAGCTGGTAGTCAAATATCAGAAATATGCATTAACATTTAAATTATTAGTATTTTAATATTTATTGGTTGGAAATTCAAGTATTGTACTAATCTTTACTGTGGTGTTTAAATATATATATATATATATATACACACATACATACAATAAAAAAGCACTTTTTTTAATGACATATTAACTAACAATTTCCAGACATAGGTCACTTTTTTAGGTAGTAGGATGACCTGGCAATCTAGATTCAGTAAACCATGGATCCCAGGATGGAATGAAATAAATTTAGTTCAGATCAATGAATCATGATTTTCACTTAATAGTCAAACACTAATGTATTTTTAACTCTTTCGCTACTGCCTTGGTGGATTACTCCAATCATGACCCCACAGTAACTATTAGTTTTCATACTATAACTTTTAACATGTTTCGTGTACCATCACAAAATTTTTCAAGCTTTTAGTAAACATTACGATTATCTCATAGAGAAAAAGTTAGAATTTCTAATTAAGTATTTTTACTGAAAATTAGTCTATGAATATATATATGGAATCAAAGTGTTGACTGCTCCAAGTGCAAAGTGATTTTATGTTAAGATTAAAAATACATTTCTTCATCTAAAAATGTTAAAGTTTCTTTTGTATAATCTCTAAAACCTCCTAAATAAATATCAAACTTTTTTTTTCAGAAAAACTTTATATTTTATCTGATATTTTCTCTAACCTAACTATACAGGGTCTGTTAAATTGACCAACTTCGTAATCAGAATAAAACTTTGTAATGATTGAAAATTGCAAAATAAAGTAAGTAGTACCGTTCTATCCTTTTTTTGCATTGAACATAAAGTTCAAAGTCTCCTGAAACTTTCTACTTCTAACCTTTTCACATATATTTCCTATGATTATTTTATTGTCAGCCACTAAAGTAGAAACCTGCCATAAATAATGAATCACCACTCCTGACATTAGACTATTTATTACGACACGGTTAATAGCAAATAAGCTCATGCAGTGCAATTACCAGAACTTTCCCACAGAGTTTGTCATAAACCCAGCTCTGAAAACACAGCGGAAAGGGATTTATTGGCTTGTCTACAGTACAGTGGTTGCAACAAGAATTATCTAAAGTACAAGAAAATGTTTATGATATGGCTTTCTATGAAATCTGGGCCAGTTCAATAAACATGGTATATATTTATAAATAACAAAATACACAGAAAAACAATGATTTCTAGTAGTAATGATGTTACAAACAAAATTGATTTGTACTTGTGCATCATAACTTGTTAAGCCTTGTTTTAAGCCTCATTTATTCTCTCAAGTGGTCGGAGAAGACAAACTATTTTTGTCGATTTGAAAGATGCATTTTAGAAAGCAAAATAATTATCAAATTACAATGGTAGTATACATAAAACAACTGTAATTAATCTGGCTTTCTAGCTAAGCTATATGTGAGTTAGAAAAAAGTCTAATTTCTGTTCAGTGACTTACTCAACAGATTTCACCATTTCCAGCAAAAATTAAAGTTTCTCCTTAAAGTCATTTACAAACGTCTGTCAGATTTATGTAGTTTGAAATGTCCTCTTTCTATTTGTTATAAACATGTACTTAAAAGAAGTAGCCATGAGTTGACAAGAGGTTTCAAAAGAATGGAGTAGCGGGCAAAGCTATCCTGGTAGGTTTGCAAAATATACTGATATTTCAGCAAATTAAAAAGGTGGGAGGTTCTTACTTTATATTACAGTTTGTAAGTTTCTGAAATTTGAGTTTCTAATTCAATAACCACTATAGACATTGTATGGTACGCATACTAAAATATAAACAGTAATAAGACAAGAAGACATGCTTTACAACATACAAAAGAACATTTGTATTGTTTTTTAATATTTGTTTGCAAATTAAGAAATTAAACCATATATAATATTAAAATTTGAATTACAAACTAGTTGTGATGCTAATTTTATTGACATACAATGATAATAAATTTCTTCAATTAAATTTGGAAATTAACTCTCTTGAACATTGTGACATGTTCCCTTTGACCTATCTGTAGTGAAAGGGTTAATAGTCTAAGGAACACCACACTTGAGGTATGCTCTTGAACTATAATATATCTTCACGTCTGAAATAAAATAAAACAATACATACAGATTTCACTGCAAAATATACATATAAATTTAAACAGGTTCACTCACATTATTCCAAGACACTTGTACAAATATACGTTTCATTTATATTACCTAATCAAGGTTTCAATAAATTTGTTTTTATGATGAAGATAGCAAAGTTCTCAGTTAACACATGTAAAATCTATTTCCAAACACAATCATATGTGAAAAACATTTGTATATGGTATGGAAGTACAGTATGACTTTAAAGATTTAAAAGTAAACCTTTTTCTAACCAATATTAGTTATTATGACCCAGTTTAGCATTCTTTAACTTACCTCTGAATGCAATAAATCACTTAGAATTCCTATATATATAATTTTAATTATAATTTTTTCTACACTGAGATAGAACATTTAATCAACACGACAAGTCATGTGGTAGACATGTTAACAATCAAAATTCACCGTTTTGCTTCAGACATTTCTTAAAATGAAAGGTCACAAGAGATGTTGATTCAGATAAAAATTTATTTAACATACCTAAAATTATTTTACACAAAGATGATAATTCAGGTAATTCTCTTTGAAGTGATAATTATAATTTTTATCTGGTAACAATTATTGTAAACAATGATATTATTCACCATGAATAAAAAATGCCTCTTCTGATCTTTGGTTATTTTACTCCTTAGACTTTAGTAAATTTTTGTAACACCAATGTAGCACACAAAATTTTATTAGATGAGTGTTTACTTTTTAAACCAAACCAAACAATGAAACAGGTGTTTACAATATTCCTCGTGGAAAAGTTCCACATATATTTGTTACAATCAATACTTCCAAGTTTCTCTGAAACAAAACAAATGTAAATTTTTATATGGTCTCATTCTAGCTATGGCTTACCAGTTCTTGAGCCTCTTCCATATGTTTTTCTACCTGTGAGACCATTTTCTTTTTGTCCACTGCAAGATTTGTTAAAGCAAATACTCATGAACATCAGTTACTAATCTTTTACCAATTGTTTGTTTACAATGTACATGTAATAATACCCTAAGTAAAGATTTTATAATAGTTTTAGTCTCAAGTACAATTATTTTTACTACTGCACAAAACCAGGAGGTGTACTTTTATTGCAATCTAATTTTTTAAATGCTTCAAAACATCTAATACTGTGTTAAAATTTGAAGATTACAAAGAATATTATCAACAAAAATATACATCTCTTAAAAAAAAAAATTTCTAGAACCATGTAACAAAAAAGAGAGAGAGAGAGAGAGAAAAATTAATTCCTGTTCTTTATCTTCCTAATATGGGGTGTAAACATTTTTTATTACGTATTAACCACAGGCTAATATATATACACATATTCAATGCATTGACTTTTTTCACAGTAATACAAAACTAAAGATAACATGATTTACAATAGAATACATGATGCAGACATAAAATCTCTGTCCAGATTAACCAGTTCACTTACATGATATACTGGTATTCCTCATATGTTGAAAATAATACGAGTTAATTATAAATATATAAACATGTGAAATCCCTGGGCAGGTTAACCACTCTAAACCTACATATGCAATGTAATCAAAACAACCATACAGTGGTCAAACATTAGAAACACTGTTCTCTTTTTCACCGTACTAAGAAACAAGGTCGCAGAGTTACAGAGGGAGCTGTTCAAGTAATTTTGCCCAAACACAGCCATTTCATCTCATATCAATAAAACTTTGTTTTTGAAAATAAGAATTCTAATCCTAACAAAAAATACTTATGTAGATGGAAAGTTTTATAAATATGAAACTAAATAACTAAACATTTTTATTTACAGGTTGGTAACTAACTGATACATATGTGTTTGCATATCATGCTTATGATGGACAGTAGACATTTAATGAATTTGAAATAAGAAACACTTTTGTAAGTTTTAATAATTAACTACAGAATTGGTTCTTATACGCATTTCATGCAAGATGAACCACACTAGCCCAGAGACAATACTTATGGAATTCACTGTAACCCCAATCCAAATTAGGTAGGCCTAGGCTTTAGACTAGTTGATTATTATTTCATAGTTAATGTCATATCACCATCAGTTAACTTGTATTAAAATATAAAACAATTGTGGTATTAGGGGTGCAAATTTCTATGAAACTGTTAAAGTCAGACTTTTGACAAAGTAAAATTTTAGTGGAGGGTAAAATGCTGAAAGAGCTGAAGGTGTTTGTTTGGTATCACAAGTCCTTCAGCATCTTTTTTATTCAATAAAGTAAAATTTTGCAATCTAGTGCATTTTCTGAATCAACACAATGCTAAATTTGATCTGGATTCAGCCAACCAAACAACTATAATACAATTAGAGAAAGCTGTTAGTAGGGTGAGCAAAATGTTAAAATGGGAGTATGGTCTTTGAAGTATAATAAAGTAAGGCTCATAACTTATTATTATGGGATGACTGGGTTATGTTATTAAATTCTACTTCTTCAAAGGCCCAAGCAGTGACCCACCACTAGTAACAAAGGTCCAATTTGCCTGGACTCCATTAATTACAAAGTTTTGCTTACTTCCATCGAACAATTCTACAATCCAATCTACTAGTCTTTCCCCAACTGATGTGATTTTCTTAGATAACCTACTTACAGCACCTTACCAAAAGCTTATATTCTTAAATCTATGTAAACCAATTTCATAACTTATCCATCATCTCGATAAAATATAACATCCTTGAAAAAGTTAACAAATTAGTAAGAAAAGATTTTCCTTTGGTGAATCCAAGTTGATTTTATGATATTTCACTATATAATTTTACAAAGCTTCTCTTTTCAATTTGCTTGTTTTTAAGCCCAAAGCTATACAATGGGTTATCTGTGCTGTGCCCACTACTAATATCAAAACCCAGTTTTTATCATTATAAGTCTTCAGACTTACCGTTGAGTCACTGGAGGGCTCTCTTTTCAAACACTAGAATAGAATTTCCCCCACTACAAAAGTAAGACTAACTATGTTGTAGCTTTCAGGGCAGCTTTTTTCACCCTTTTAAAATTGGGAGTAATATTAGCAACTCATCAATCTTCAGGCACCTACCTACTGTGACAACATATCATTAATAATAGTGTTCAAATTATGCTCTTAACAAACACATTTCCATTGCCAGTAGGCATAAATGGTCATTGCACTATATTACACCATTAAATTAACAATGAAATTACAAGACTAAAGGAGAAAACTGATCAAGTCAGCAGCCATTACATCACAATTCACTTTAGCACAGCATTCCATTTTCAAGAATATGGAAAATATAAAGTTTGTCAATATAGCCTGGTTTTTAATTTGTATCCAGAATCAACAGTAGGAAACATGAATTGCTAATAATATGAGAACATGAAAGGACATTAAATTGATACAATTTCACGTAAACATAGTAAAATAGTTTAACAGCAACAATTAATTTCAAGCAATGTATTAGACTGCCAAAGATATACAATATTCAAGCAAATATCTTAGTATTAACTGAGTAAGGTTTTATAAATTATAGTCAATATATTACTAGGCCCAAGTAGTAGTACAAAAAGCACACAAAATGTAGTACTGTTATAAATGATAATAACATTAACAGCTATTAGTGGCGACACAACTTCACAAGAATGATTTTTAGGTTTACAAATTACAATACAGTAGATCCCTAGATGAGTCGTAATTTGTAAAACTTACAACATAATACTAGTAATACTACTAGTACTATTACTAAGTGCTACACTAAAGTCTGCAGTACACATTATCGTTACTAGTACTATACACACAATCAATTTATAATTATTACTAATAATTACAATTTATAATATTACTATTAGTACTAATTCAATAATCATAAACAATTAATTGAATTGTAATTTTAATAATTTTTATACAGCCCAAATCACAATTGTATCTCGACTGATTTCTTAAACTTAAGTTAAGCCTCACACTAAAAATTGTACAAAAATAACAAAACTAAAACATGTAACAACGCACAAACCTCCAGTCAAATTAGGTATTTTCCCAATTTTTGCAGTGATATCTGCGGTTAAAGAAGCATATTGTTGTTCAAACGACTCCATCAATGACGCCATTTTAACAATAAATATAATGAACAATATTATGGTCTACACATAGGACATCTTGAGACACTTTTTGTTCGAATAAACACTCGCGTAGTGGTACAGACTGTTTAACTTTTTTTTAAAAGTTTTTTGATACCAACTAAAGTGCATAAAATAGGTTTCTTGGGTCAATCTTTAACTATGATTAATTCCAGAAACAATATATTTATTAAAATAAACATTCCGGTGTTTTATCTTCATGAGTTTATATATATATATATATATATCCTAACTGGAATAATAATCTGCTTCAGACTTCAGAGAGCGGAATAATATGACGACTGGATTAATCAGGACCAGATTTTTATCGGGTGCTCCTATCCCAATACTTTGTTTGTTTGTTGTATTTTGTCCAAAGCTATCTGTGTTGACCGTCTCCGATTTTGAACTGACAGATTAGTCTAAAAGGGAAGACAAATTATTCAACAGCATCCACCGCTATTTCTTAACTACTCTTGTCTGACCGAATAGTAAGATTTGACCATCACCCTTATAAAACACCCACAGTCAGAAAGTGCGGAGCGCGATTATTTTGACGGTAAAGGGACACGAACACTGGACCCGTAGATCGATAGTCCAGCATGGCCCGTTACGGTAGAAGTAAAAATGCATTGTCAAAAGTTCACCGAAATTGACCTCTTGTATTTCTGAAGTTGGTCGTAATCAAAATTTGATCCAACAAGAACAAAGAATTAACCAATGTGAACCTGAAAAAATAAATATATAGTGAATTACACAAAACGCCGATGATGACATAATAAATCCATTCAACTGTTTTGTTAAACCTGTTTGAAAATGTATGACATTCTCAAACGTTATTGTTTAAATACGTGCATAATAATATGAACTGTTTCAATGGAATACAATGTTAACTTTATAAAATTAAAGAAAATATAAAAAACAACTTCTGACTAAATGCATAATATTTCAGTATAATAATTATAAGAATATTTTTTTATATTTATTACACTCTTACGTATTATTGTTGTTACCTTTCACAATTTATACGAATTTCATTTACACATCTCATATGTGATTAATTTAAAATTTGTCGAACTTGATTTCAAATCACACGAAGAAATGTGTTTATTAGCTGTCAGAAGCAAGTGCAGCAAACTTGTGATTGTAGTGAAGAGAAAACTTTTTTTGTTACTGTGTATGTTTTCGAACAGATTTAACGAAACAATTCAAAGGATTATGTTTTGCCCCTAATTATTTTATTTTGTATATAGAGTTGAGTATCTTATATATATAAAAAAAATTGAAAACGCAAATCAGCAAGCCATTTCACAACAACAGCCAATGTAAAGTCGCGATGGAATGGGATGTATCAGAACTACATTTTACTATTGTTTGATTATTGTAGGTAGTGTGATGCCACCGAAAATTGATCGCTTTTGGGAAGGGTATATAACAGTTTTTTTTTTTTTCGATTCAAAATATTCATACACTCAGATCATAAACATGTGTTCAGACTGCGTATTTAAAATTTCCAAGACAGAAATATCCCTGGTACTTAATGACATTGGGAAACAAAGGAATATGGATCACCTTGGAGAACCAGGAACATCCAGAAATAGGCCTGCAACAAGTCATACCCCATCCATGGTAAGCAAATTATGGTATTGTGTCAGAGGCAAAAACCGTCCATGAGCCCCAGGCAACAGTATACAACTTAATCAAGAAGGATGAAGAATCTCTGTCTGGAATAGCGACACAAGACATGTGTACACAAATTCCTTCCACGGCATATCCATCAGAGTAATTCAAGCAGCTGGAGAATTTAACGAGTATTTATTCGGTTCCATATGAAGACACATCGTTCAAATCGCCGGGTACAGAGTCCACTTATTTCTGTACAATCAGACTTTTTTTAAATGGGCACTGAGAAACAGTTGTCCTCGTGTAGTAGATCGATTTTGAAAAGCCTGCATGGAGGAATGGTGTGCTTTGGACATGACAGCCTTACGAAGGGAGCCTTTTGCAATGTAACCTACATGACAGAGATATAGATACAGGATGACCAGACCTGTCCATATGGATTGTAACAGGCTCCAAAATCGTTTCAACGCAATACATTCAACCTCCGTATAAGTCGGTGTCGGTATTACATATTCTTTTAAAATTTGGCTTTATAAAAACATGAAAGTTAGGTAAGAAAGCAGAGAAATATTTACTTGACACTCTTTATTTTGTTTCATGCCAAAAAAAAAAGTTAAAGAAATTATGAAAAATTTATATCATATAGGTAATTCTTAATCTAAAAGTAATTGTTTATTTAAAGAGACGATGTACGATAGTTAAAAACATGCCAGTTTAATCAAATTTATTATCTAATGACGACTCAAAGCAATTAACACAGTTTATGAGTTCCTCAATACACACACATGTATAGATATCAGTGTGTATGTGTATATATACAACGGATATACACATATATATAAGAATGGAAATACTATTATAAAAACACACAAGCAATACATAACACTGAATCATAAAAAAACTAGAAATGGCAACTAGATAGTGAATTTATTTGCGGTATAAAACATTGTAATGACTGAAATAGTCACGTATTTTACCTTTCAATAACTAGGATAAAATATATATATATTTCTTTATTCAGGTATATTCGCGTATTGTTTTTCAAAATTGTCATCATTTTCTGCATGTAGTTATAACATTCTCATTGATCGTTAGCCAAATATCTCAAGGCTGTAAACTTGTACTAATAATCTTACACATTTGTTCTTAAGTCTCAAGCTAGCATCTACTGTTTGTGTATGGACTTCTTGAGAGATAGCCTATTCAAATAAGCAATACAGAAATCTATACAATTGGCTAAGATTACGACTGTGTGTAAACCATTGGTTGAAATATGTAACTTGAGGACTTGTGGTTTTCCTTACTAAAGCTTTGCTTTGCCTTGTTATATTAGTTGGGTATTTCCAATGTTTGACTCTTTCTTTGTTGGTATCCTAACGGATTTGATTTATATCCAGCAAGTATTTTAAAGACTTGATTTAATAAGGCTTCAGCAATGTAGTGGTCGGT